TAAAGACAAAAAACTAGTTAAATTAGTACGATACTAACTTATAACTAATATAAATTTTCATCAAAGCTTTAAAAAGTTTCATAACCACGTTTTAAAATAAATGAACTTTACTCGTAATAGAAACTCTATTTAGTTTTCTACAAAGGAAAAATGTAATAGAGAGCAAGTCCAGAAAACCAATCGTACTGTTATGAGTATTGAATCAACTCGTCTGATTCATGTAAACAGAAATATCTGCTATACACTTTGAAGTTTGTTTGCGAAAAAACGTTACCATTTCAGATCACTTCATTGCACGAGGATCCGCGTCCATATGAACTTATTTACCGCCTTTGCTCTGAATAATATACTTTGGATTGTGTGGTATCGGGCTGTTGTCAATAATGCAACAGTCGTTCAGGAGAATAAGGTATGAATATAATAGTGAAAAATTATATTTCTTATTAATGCAATAAGTAATCGCATTTTTCTTTGTAAGATTTGGTGTCAATTGCTCCATATCGTGACTACATATTTTATGGTAACTGGTTACACCTGGATGTTCTGCGAAGGTCTACATCTGCATATCGCTCTGGTCGTGGTAAGCTCATATAATTTTATTAACCAATATAACCTACATACAAAATATATAAACGCATTTCTTCCATCTCTTTCATTCATTAACAGATCATTAAATATTTTACAAGTATTCTCAAGTTGGAGTTACTTTGAGAAATAAAAATAAATAATAATAATTATAAGGAAAATTATGAATCAATATATAACACACATAATTGTTGACATACTTTCTTCACAAAATATCTTCCATCATGTTTTATAAATTTTAACGTAATAAAATATGAGTTATAGGATTTAATGATATATCACACATATTTCTTATTTATTTTTTTCCTAGATTTCATAATTCTTTTAACTTTTTTAATATATATTTAAAGAATTTAGTCACTAAGTTATAACCAGGTAAGAAAATAAACCGGGCGATGTTGGAAAATAAAACTTGGATCTCACATAAATTTTAATCTTATCAGTCCATTCCAAAGTTCGGTATATGTAATATAGATACTTTGACAAACTCCAATTTAAGATCCTCGTCAATATAGAAACTTACAATACAGTTACTAAATCACATTACCCATTGACCGTATAAACTAATAGCATATGTAACTCAAATTTAACTTGAAATCAAATATCAGGATCATATACGGTCTATAGAAGTTTGGACGTAAAAGTTTACGAAACTTTAATACCCCAATGTTTGTTTCCAACATTCGTGTGAAAGAATATTCGTCTACTTTTACTATTTTAAACATAATATATTTGTAGTATGGAACTTTATCCCATGAAATGGTTATTATTCAGATTTACAATTAAACAAGCTCTTTATCTATTACGTATCCAAATAAACTGTTTTACCCATTTTAAATCTATATTTGTCTTGATTTCATTTTTCAAGTACATGTAATTATTAAAAAAAAAGGTTAATTAAATACTATGGCTTACTTTAAATATAATATATACATTTTTAAAAATATTACTTCACGAGACTTTGCGTGTGTCTGTGGAAGTGTGTTGTCAAATAAAAATATATGTATAATACTTATAAAACATATGTTAGTTTATTTGTTATTAAAACAACGCCTAAAATTACAAAGTCGTGAAGTTTATCTGATTTTATTATACATATTTTATGCCATTACTGATATACAGAGAAAAACGCCTTAATAAATCTTCTAGACAACATAAAACAATATTACTATGGATTTTTTTTAATGATAACTCCCATTCGGCTAAGTCACTGGACTTGCTATGTCGTCTTTAAACTATAAACTATTTTATCTAATAGAATACGTATTAAAACGTTTTGGAAAATAAATTATTTTAACATGTAGAATAATCATTGATGTTAAAAGGTATTGATTATTTGAAACTAAATGAGATAGAACTAAAATGATATTAATTCGATGAGTGGAATGATAATTAATTATTATCAATTCCGAATCATACGAGGTTAAATATAATTAAAATTTCATTAGCTTTTGTCATAATCAAGCTTTGATTTCACTAATTTTAGTTTAATGGTAATATCAGGTTATATTTGAAAATGTAAATCAGATAATATGTTGTTATACGACATTTCAAAATAAAGTGAAACTTATTTATGGTTTAAACTTAGTTCTAACGTCAGTGTAATGGTATTATAAAAAATGAGACCAACTCGGTAGCTATTTTTAACGCGACTTGTTTACGGGAGATATGAAAAATGATAAATCTATAACGTCATGTAATAATTTATGTGAAAAGACGAGATTATAACGGAAGATCATACAATGAAAGTTACAAAGGTGAACAACCATTTTTCTAAGTCGTTAAAGTGAATAGAGATTCGTGAATGAATAAAATAAAAAAGTTATAGGATACAGAGAAAAATATGTAGTAAAAAAATGCTTTTAAATTTGCACTGGCAAAATTAATTCTAGATTGTGCTTTTACCACAACGATATGAATGAAACATTTAAATCCATTCAAGTTCAGAATAGATGATAAATTTACATATAACTTGTGCTTATAAGATTTGCAATTGTAAAAATTTAATTAAAATGGGTGGTGGATTAAAAAACGTTTTAAACAAAGGTTCTCCTTCGGAGTTATACGAAACATGGATACAGTGTTGTCTGAAACAACGATTATCGAGAAAATTAAATGTCGTGAACCAGCACAGCGGAGCGGTGAATAGCGCTCAAACAGACGTAATAATATCGTTAAATACCAATTATTACCAACTAAAATAGTCTATATTTTGGAGACTAACTCTTGTATGTATGTGATGATGATCTTAGTATTAATGTCGAGCATAATATTTTTGCTCTCATCGAGCATTCCTGTTGCTGTTCGTTTGACGACTAGAACTTATACAAAAGATGTCCAACAAATAAAGTAGTCTACCCTGAGACTATGGCGGTGATAATGATGATAATGCAATAAAAGATTTTAAATGTATGAATTTTAGCTATGAACACTTAGTATTAACCAAAGTATGTCCGGTTTAATTAAAAGAAAAAGGCTCAGAGAGTTAACGGCTTAATTCAATTGCACTTACATAAAGTTCTTAACTATTAAACTACCTTATTCTCCACATTTGCATATATTTATAGAATATTATGGTGTTATAAAACTAGCTTACCCACAAGTATTATAGTGGGATGATATATTGACAAATTTTAGTACTCTACATATAAAATTTATTATGACAAAGGCAATTGACCATAAAAATATTAATCCCATGAAACGATATTACACGGAAACAATATAAAGTACAGTTGTATGGAAAGTAAATAGACGGATCTAGAAATATCTTATTGTGAAAAATACGTCATAACAGACCAACATATCATAAATGTTTATAACACCAGCCATTATCCAAAAAAGTATGTGAAATAAGAACATATGCAATGTTTTTACAAATTCTATATATTATTTGTATAGTTGGATAACTCTTTAAGTATATAATTGTATTTAGGGCAAGGTAGATGCTCTATCAACTTTAAACTGTAATATTGAAATAATACTGTTACATATACTTGACATTGGGGTAACAAAATCAATGGATATACCGCCCACTACCTGCACCGATATCTCTACGAGATATATTTAAAACTTACTTTAAAGCACTAATTGATAATTTTATCATATCTTCTGATTTACAAATAGTTTCGAACAACTTCTTAATTAAACGATACCAAAGACATCGTGTTTCACTTAGAGTAATCTGGTACTTTTGGTTTCTTTTCCACTTCAGGACTTTGAGATAAGCTTCAAAAGCATTTGTTATTTTATGGATACTAAGAATGTTTTGATAAAATCTTATAACAGTGTTTGACATCTGAATTTATACCAAAGCATCGAAGAAGTATCTTTATTCCAAGCCGGAAATGTGCATTTGAGATCATACTCGTAGTATCAATAAGAGCAAGGTTTTTTACACTATCTTTGTCAGATGAATAGATTAGTATGATAAAATAAATATTATTATTATATGAATAAATTTATATCATGTAACGGGACTTTATCAAATTTAAACTATAAATCAAAATAAACCTCATGTTCAGATAAAGCTATTTGATGTTTAAAAGAACAAATATAAAATTTCTTATGTGAATAAGCCAGAATACAGTGTGAATATTCAACCAGAACACAGAAGCATTATTATCGTTCAATGGGTCATATATGTACATTAATAAATATTAGTCTTCTGATCTTTCCAATATGTTAAAAATAAAAATTCTATGGATCAAAAGTTTTGATTAGAACATCTTAAAATTATTTAAGAGCAGCGTATTTGGTATGAGATCCAGAGTGGATCTTCTCTCTTCTAAATATGATTCCCGAAGTCGCGTATCCTAAGACTAGATTTGATTATTATTCTTTTGTGTTTCTTCCACGTATCTAATTAAAATAAGCAATTTTACAAAATGTGACGTATTTACAAATAAAAAAGATGTCTTTCTTGTAATTATGGGATGCATCTCTAACGAGACCAAAAGACAAACATTTTTACAAAATTTTATAAACGTAAAGTGGGTATGTATATAAATGTATTTTTATATTTTATTTTTAGCATTAATAGTAGATTATAAAAGAGGTATCAATTTATAGCTATGTGGGTGACTTATTGACAACTAAAAAACCCTCTATAAAAAGAAGATAGAAAAGCGAGGCAATAAAGCTCTAAAACTTCACATTTTATGCATTTACTGTATAAAGCTTGAAACCTCTAAAAGCTCGATGAACTTTATTAACCTTTTTGTAAAATCTAGCATCCCTATACAAAACATCAGCCGTTCGCTATAGCCTATAAATAAATTAACCTTATAACGTTCGATCTACTGATTAAGAATGCAAAACTCAACTGAATCTAGATTTAAAAAGTATGCTATTCTTTAAAACCTAGATTCAGGTGACGTTTGCCTTAGTTTAGAATTTATAATAACTTTTTACTGAAGGTATTCGTGAAGGAAAAGGTGGCCATGCGTTGTTTCCTGGCGATAGGTTGGGGCCTGTCACTGGTGATCATTATCATTTATGCTGTTGTACGGTACCATATACCCGGGGCAACTGAACGGTGAGTAGAGCATAAGACTTCAAAGATGATATTAAAAATATATATAAATCTGTTTTGGCCCCGTACCAAAATAAAGGTATAGATTGATGCATTATGTTTGACCTAGAATTTTTAATGGACAAACAAACAAGTTTCAATATAAATCAATTATCTAATTTATATTATTTATGTATGTAATACGCTGTGTGCGCTTTATGCTATTTTATTACTATAACTGTTTTTAAAACATGCTCGTAGACTTATTATAAAGTTTTAAGACTATCTGTCCTATATTTATTGATTTATAACTAACAAGATGTTGTTGCTTAAGAAGTCTTTGCGAATGAGTTAATTTATTTCAGATACTATATAATTAGTTAATGCTTAATTTTAAAAGTAGTTTTTACTGATAAAGTCCAATTTTTACCCTAATATTCAATACATTAGATTTTTTTTTATATTCCTATAGATTATTCCTCCTAACAAAGCAGGCTCACACGTAAGAATCGAATAGTTTAATTGAAGCAATATTCCAAAGATATAAATAATAATGTGAGAATTCTTATATTTTTATGTTTCATAAGTAAATATTAAACATGAGATGATACCTGTCTTTTAGCAACTTCAACGTGAGATTAATCTTTCATCGAACGATACATTAATTCCTCTCGCCATGCAAAAGCATATCTTTTTGCTACTTTTCGTTTATATTGTTTGTCGGAGATTTGATTTATATACATTCTCTAACTGCGTATTTTTATCATGGGTTAAAATTACTCAGATATTACATTACATTCTCTTCTTTTGTATTCTTATAATCTTTTGGGATGTACTACAATTCATATTTTTTTTGACGTTATAAATCGGAAAAAATATATCATATTTATTTGCTTGCTAATACATACTCGTTATAATGATATAGGTATTGTTTTAAGAATTTGGACAGAAAATGTTTTATTTGTTTTGAAAAAATACCAGGTTGTTTTGTTTTCAATGTATGAAAACCAATGCGAATTTTATTACGGCTTTATTCTGATGCGAACAATAGAGAGTTTAGTTCAGTTCTAATAATATTGTTTGTTTTAAACACTTTGTTTTAAACACTTATTGTTTGTTTTAAACACTTTTTTATAAAAACGGTGTCTTATTGTAATTTTTTTTTGCAGTTGTTGGATGGAGCAAAGTGAAGCGTTCTGGATTATAACTGTTCCCGTGGTAATTTCCCTCATAGCTTCATTCGGTAAGTTGCTAAGCTACATATGTATGTAGGAATGTATTACAAATAATCCGATTTCTCCAGTTTTATTCAGTATTCTTCTTCTTAAAATGATTATTCTTTTATTATTCTTCTTAAAATGATTGTTACTATTTCGAATAAACATTCATTTTTTTAAGTCTATAATGTGCTTTTCTTATATGGAAACAACTACAGAACACGTTTAAATAAAAATAAATAGATATATTCACTCCACTTACCTTCGATAAACGTTTCTTTGTTTTTGAAAGAAAAAATTTATTTATATTTACATTTATATTAAAAGTTTAATAATTGTTTTTATTAACGGACTATATACTCATCAATTGACAGATAAGAATTTCAAATTTATATGAAAATAAGATAGTGCTATTATTTAAACATTGTCCTAATTTTTACAAAAAATGAAAAAATGATTTTTTTCATGTACAGAATTTAAAGTTATTATTCACCGTAAAGTACCACCCGACTGTTTTGTTTATTTAGATTAATATCGTATATTATTTTTATAATATTATTAAAATAGTAACACTCATATATTTTGCTACGTACATATCAACGAGTATCTATTGCTAAACATGTGATTTGGAAGGGAAATACTCAGCTAGCACGACGTCTTCATCTTCGTTTCCGTTGAGAAATACTTGTCGCCAAAGATTAGATACTGGCTTGAAGCATTATAAAATCCTATCTTATCCTAGAGTAACCTTTAAGTCATCTAAAGAATATACAAATTGAACTGATTTATATAAATGATAAATACATATATAAAAATATAAAGGACTAAAAGATATAAAATGACAAGATTTATTTATGGCGTGCCAAGTTCGTTTTATTTAATCTGCAATGATAAAATGTATGTTATTTCTTTATATTCTCGAGGTTATATATAAGTAAATATTTATAATAACAAAAAAACGAAAACCAATAGAGATGTTCAACGTATTTCTATTCAATTACCGAAATATATGGTCTCTTAAAGCACCTAAACAATTAACCTTATTTGAAGTGAAGACAACAAAATTATATGTCCAACGTAATCCGATGACCCTAACGAAATAGGATAAGAATCGAAATTGATGTTCGAGAAGTTTGATACTTTATCTTTATTTTCGCACGTCGCTTTCATAAGTTGATTTGTTGAAATATTTTGAAACTTTTGCTTCATAATAGCAATCTGGGTTAAAGCAACGCCAACTTATATATATATATATATCTTACTGCCAATGAACTGTTTTTATAAAATCTGTCATTTTATTACTTATCACAAGTGTTACAAATCATATTATATATAATATGATTTATATACAGTTTATTCTAACAAATTTAAATGTTTTGAAATCATTACTTTTTTGTAGTGTTCCTGATCAATGTCGTACGCGTTCTTCTTACAAAGTTGCATCCCGCCCCGCATAGATATTCGTCTGTGGCTACAAAGAAAGCCGCAAGGGCAGCGCTGATTTTGGTAGTATATGAATAAATAGAAATGTTGGGATCTTTTATTTTTAACTTTTATTTATGTATATATAATAATTACTTAATAGCCATAGTCATCAAAAAGATACCTCCTTCTCCTATTCCTACTATTTAAATACTATTATAATAATATATTTTCATAAATATATATATAAAACAAACATGTATATAAAAAAAATTGAACGTACATTTAGATACAAATCTACAAGTCTGCTTCCTGAATGTCAGTTGTCACTGTTAGATAAGCAAATATTTCTTCTAAGTATTTTCCCTAAAAGATCGTACATTTTGTAGACTGAACTAAAATTTATTTAACCATATCAAGAAGCGTATTATATTTCTTATTTAGTTATAAATATTTTTAAACATGTAAATTGAAATGTTCAAAGAAATTTAAAATCTGAAAATAACATTGGCTGAAAGAAAATATTCTATTTCCTATCCTTAAATAGTAATCTCACTTATTGAGTTTCCTAAAAAATATGTATATTTAAACAGATGAAAGCGCATTATCCTTTTATAGATTCCGCTATTTGGACTGCACTTCGTTCTGATACCATTTCGACCGTCACCTGAAATGCCCGGCGAGAAACTTTATCAAGTTGTATCTGCTCTGCTGACAAGTTTACAGGTCATTCTCAAAACATTAGAATAAATTTACATTATATGACATACATACGTATATTTGATATAATCATACTTTGATGTGTAATATTTTGTATATAATAAAGCTACAGAACCTTTATTTGTTTCAGGGAGTGTGCGTCGCTGTTTTATTCTGTTTCACCAACCACGACGTAGTCACAGCCGCAAAGACGTACATTTCGAGATATGTACAACATAATGACGTCATACCTATGACGGGTAAGCTACATTAGATTAGAGCAATATGAAAAAACCTTTCAGGAAGATTAACTTTCTTTTCTATTTACAGAAATATATATTTTATATTAATTAAAAAAAAACTCAGTAACTGCAACTTTTATCAAACTTTAATTACAAATAACTTTATCTTTAACTAATTCAGTAAAAACAGACTATGTAGTTATGTTTCACTAGAAGTTACTTTTAAACTATAATAAAATAATATAATATTCTTAATAAAATAATAATGAAAATAAATAAATACAATTTTAACATTTTCATTTAAAATTTCATTATACTAATGCTTTGCTACATTTCATTGTTGTAATATACAGGGTGTAACACTTACGAAGCGGCCATGTTTTGTATTAACAGAATATAGGCCCATACGAACGAATTGGACAAATGAATTGCCAGAGGCCAAAATTGTAGGGACGAGTTTTTATAACATGAATTGCGTCACCCTGTATATAAAAAAACTATAGTGATGACTCTAAATATTTTTATCTTTATCCAGGACTAGCGCCTCGTGATGGCACAGCCCAGGTATAGATTGATAAAGGTGCCGTTTATATATTACTGTACACATTATCGAAATGGACCTACAGAAATTATTGAATATTTTAATTTTTGTTCATTTTTAAAATATTAAGAATATATCGAGTGATCAGAATTATTTAAAAAAAATGTGTGCTACTACATCTTTATGCAGTCAGAAAGTATTTTTTGTAGTAAAAACTCACTTAGTAATTTAAGGGTTTTTAAAATAATTTAAAAAGTAAAATCGAATAATAGGTTATTTTAATAACAACTACTTTCTTTATTTATGAGAACAATTTTCACAATGGGAATTATTACTATGATTTTACTTCACTCAAAACAACAGCACCAACTGTTGTAAACGCAGTACTTAAGACGCTTTAAGTTAAAAGCTTTCATAAAAATCAACACCTTTAATAAATAACAATTTCACTGGAATTGTATATTTTGTTCCTTACCAAATCTTCGATTAAATTTGTTTGAATTTTTCACTATAAAGTAAAAAACAAATAAGGATTATTTTATCATTAAAGTTATGCGTGTAAAAACGGTTTTTTTTTGTTTTGTAACTATTATTTTGGATTTACTTTTGAATAAGCGTATATCAACCTAGGCCTACAAGTAAAATAGGTAGGTTTCTTTGATATTTGGTACTACCAGTAAAGATGTCATACGAAAAATATATAGGATTTGAGAGGATTTTGTATTTAGATTATTTTTAGAGCGTAAAATGGTTATTTATAATTTTATTATATGATTCGATAAACGAATGTACTCTGCTCACAAGTGAATTTAGAAACTTCAAAGGGTTTTATAAAAGTATAGAAAGAAATTAGTTTAAAAATAGAAACTTAACTGTACGATTAAAAAAAGGTTAAATTTTTATTCTAAATGTTTAAACCATTTAAAAGATTTGGACAATCGTAATGAGTGTCATCTTGGCCTGAATAACATAATCTATTCATTTTGGTTATTATCTCATCTTGAATTGCTATGAGATATATGGAATAAAACAAACACTTTAAATACAAAATAAACAACAGTAAGAACGTTTATATATATATCGCAATAATTAAACGCTTTGACGATGCAATTTCCTGAACACAGGAGAGCTCAATTTATGTAACACATAGCGCATTTCAGGATACAGATATAATATTTACATACAACCATCTCATTTAAATAATAATTAAAAACTGATATTTATGTTTACAGATTGGAAATCCATTTAATAGTACTTTGAATATTTAATAGTAATTCTTTTTTAAATCAATAATAAATCAAGTATAAAAGTATAAAATTGGTTATCGAAACAACAATCAAAGTCATGATTATATGTTGTAAATTAATTTCACACTTAAATTTTTACAGGTGTAACCGGGGGGGAAAGTATTATGAATACAAGAGAAAATATTGTATGAGACAACCATAGGGGTTCTCGCAACCCCTGCTTGATAACAGGAAGCTGATTTATAGAATAAGATTTATAGTATAAATGAATAAGAACTGTGACTTTAATGTAACCTTCGTATACCAGTTTCTATGTGTATTGTAGCATACTCATTAACTTAAAAGGGTGGCAAACTGTATAAGACTACTCCTTTTTTATAAGTAGATCAATCGCGACCTTTGAGTTCGCTTATATTTAAGCTAGTTTATAATAACTTAATGTATACTCGATGGATAAATTCAGAAATGGCCCAACTTAGGTATTAAGTAAATAGGAAAATTTAAAAAAATCCTGTGACTTCGAATATCATCCGTGAACTTGCTGTTTTCGATATCTATTCTATTTTCTTCGCTCGAGCTTATTTATACCTAAGGGGCAGGGTCTTTGGCCATTTGTGTAATTTTTCCTACTGTCTGTCTAATTAACCATAATGTGTAGCATTTATTATGTGAAGATAATTGTATTCCCTATTGAAAGTAAATAAATAAATCACTTCAATTACATTTAAATTGTTTTTATTTATCATTCTAAATGAAAGCCTACATTTATTCGTCAACAATTATTTCCAATTCCATATATTTGAGGATAACTCTGTTTCTCAACACGAAAAAAATACAAAATTTTACATACCTAATGGGTAAGTAACTAAACATCATCATCATCATGTCTTTCACTACATTTACATAGCATATTAAATGTCTATGATTCCATTAACTTCCTTGTTCCAATTGTTGAAAACGGTTTTGTGTAAGTAATAATACAAGTAGGCAAGTATATATAGTACTTATTATAGGAAATATTTTGTATTCCTGTATGTAATGGTGAAATTTTTTTATAAAATTTAAACCTATTATTTTTACAAAGTGTATCGAAAAAGAGTCATAAAGGTTGCTAATTTCATTACAATTTTATTTTATTATATGGTTTTGGGAGTATATTTATATTTTCATGTTTCAAAAATGCATTTTTAAACCATATTTTATGTTTCAATTGTTTTTTTTAGGAAAGGTAGGAAAAATATTATTGAGAAACTGAGAGCAACATACTCGTAAGCACGTAAGCAGAATATACTGTATATTATTAGTTACGATATTGGGAATTAATAATATAATCTAAGGGTTATAAGACACAAAGTATCCAGTGATTAATAAAAACTAGAACTTCACCACGTTTTTAAATATGTATTTTGGAATTTTTGTGACTGAAAAACTATCAACAGATTTTTTTTTATTTTCCTGTTAGAACCATATCATTACATCTGTGATGACCTGAAGAGAAAGGCGATTTAAATGTAATTAGATTTGCCAGTATTTAAGGGGTGTGGTTCCTAACTTTTGACAGTCCTCTATTTCAAACACCAATATGCTAAAACCTAAATTAAACAACAACTTATATTCACAACACAAATTTTCAATGTATTATTATAGAAATAAAGTAGTTTTACTTAAATGTGCAGTCGGGAAAGTCTATTACAACATCGCTTCCGACAAAAGCATTTAAGTATAAGCTATTAGCGACCTTTTAGATACTCCAACCTTGTCTAAGGCATTTCTTTGTAAAATAAGGGAAATTGAATGAGATACAAATAAAGGTACATATGCTAGTATTTATGAGCAGTATAACTTTTCTAAGTGAAACAATACTAATGAGCATGATTTGTGTTAGTCAAACACAAATAATGGACTCTCCAACTCTGTCGAGTTCCCCACTAGAAAAGTAAAATCTTCAGACTGGAGCAAGAATTCATATTCTTGTACTAAGATGTTAGCAAATGTCATTGTTAAGCATCTTTTACAAACATTCAAATGTCAATAATTAAGATTCTGTCTCATAAAGTCTTTTGTCTCAAAAGTTGCGACGATTTAACAAAAGGTATATTCAAAATTATCTGCGAGGTAAATTATAGAGAAATCCTAATGTAATATTATCCTCACGAACAAATAAAGCACAAAGTTAATATAAGATCTAAATAGTTTTCGTATAAACAGAATCTTCTGATATGATCGCTTACTTTCAAAGAAAATTATTTTTGATCTAAGTCAGGTTGCAAGCAAAACTAATCAACATGCTTAAGTCCCTAGAAGTGCTGGTAATATTAATACCTATATTACGGTACATGTATGTTTACTTTGTACTACACGCGTTTATATTAGCACACGGCTTGAATGTCTAGAGGGAAACTTACAAATGCAAGAGATTGAACATGCTCAACGGTTTATACTAAAAGTAAAATCATCGATATTAAATGCTCATCAAATTTTGCTATTTAGCTAAGGAAATAACTAATTAAGCTTCAGTTCATCGCCCAGAATGTAATACACAAAATATTTCACCTATTGATAGAACATGAATATCATTTTAAGGTACGATAGTTCGAAATAATATATGAAATTATTACTTTTTTCGATAATAACTATCCAGTTTTATTATTGTAGATTGTTGGTTTAATATATAGAATTATTGTAAGATCTTCTGAAGAAAAAAAAAACAATAACGTAAAACAGAGTGTGCTATATATTGTATGACGATACAAACATGTGGTGATCATAAACAATATACACGCGAAAAGAAGTAAATCTTTAAAGAATAAAAATTTATAAGCGAGACGTAACCCTAAATATAGTCACCAAAAAAGTACCTCACCATAAACACATCCAATACAATAATCTCTATGAACAAACCTGTAAAATATACCCACTTGTAGATATTTACATTAAAATTTATTTTTAATGTTTTCCTCAGAGGCAAAAGAACTTTTCTAATATATTTTCTTTTTTTTCATCTAATACGAAGTAACGCCGAACGAGAATAAAATCAGTTTGAATAAGTCATAAAAAGCCACGTAAAATTTTTGGAGTGGAGTGTGAAGTTTTATCTATGAAATTATTTAATAATTTAGCTAATGAGCATAGATTTTTTTGGCTGCGATTTATAATATGGTTGAATAGGTTTTAATACAAACAATACAACATAAATAGTCAAATATACTCCGTTTCACGTTTATATTTACGACATTTTAAATAACAATAAAAAAATACAATGTTATATATCAAGAGAACTATACATAAAATTTACACAAGTCTAATCTACATTATACTATTCCCAATAAGTACAAAAACCGTTTCTAAAACTAAAATATATTTACAGAAAGTTCATTATAAAATTTATATTTTAATTAGCACTACAATAATATCGCAAAAGTCGCTTTTATACATATAATTATATTTTAAACCATTCATATCACATACCTAATTCACGTAGTTCATACATATATTAATTGATAATTTATACCTAACATATACCATTTAGCGAATCAACATATATGTATAATAATTAATTTAATTTATTTCATGATGAATGCAATACGAAAATCATTTAGACATCCATGTCAGGACGTACTATTAAATTATTGACTAATCAATAAACATTCAACTATTTCATCTATTACCTCTATTTACATATTTCTAAATCTCGTCTTGATATGTGTCTTACAAAAGACACATTCAAGTGTTTGTCATTCTAGAACTATATATTATCTACCATAACACTATTTAAATGCAAAAATATTGTTTATTTTTATGTGTGCTTGCATTTGTAGAAACTCACGCACATTTTATTGCTAATCGGATTAGAATAAAATTTAGTATATATATGTGTATAATTTTTTAACACATAAATATGATGAAGATTAAGAAATCAATATTCTAGTAAATATTATATCTAATCTATTAATTCTAAGCTATTTACATATTTTTTTACAAATGACTATAAACCAAGCTTTGCAGTGTGCTTTCATCAAACTACTTTGTCAAACTGGGCCAAAAAAAAGACTCATTATCATAATGAATTAAAATTTCTAGCACATCATCAAATTCAGATCTTATTTGCTAAATTTTAAACGAAACTGTAAATTATTACAATTTATTATCGCATATCACATATCAGTTACATTTCACATATCAGTTACAGTTCAATGTGACGTATGTCTGTAGCGTAACTTAACAGACAGATCAACAGCGCATCATCAATTAATAATTTCAACCAATTAGAATTTCAATGCTAATTATTCAAACTAGTTCTACGAGGTGAAATCTGAAAAGCCAGCAATTATGCCCATTTCAACTAAAATAGCGAATGTTATGAAAAGTGCGTACAGGCCGAGTAACACGACTCCAACACATCTTCGTAGTTTGAACTTTCCAATAAATAAAGTGATCCATAGCAGTACAGCGGCGGCTAATAAGGAACCGACCACGAAATCTATCCCTGATGAGTTGATGTAAACTGCCGTGTCTGCTCCCTGAGCAAGAAGAGTAAAGGTTCTAATGATCCAAGGAAGACCGAGAGCAAATAAAATGGATAAAGAATTCGCTCCTAAGGCATTGGAAACACCGATTCCTCCTTCACCTGAAATAGATATATAACAGCCATATAAATATCATCCATATACTAAAACATCATAAACATGTTTATTTTAATATCAATTTATTGGAACTATTAAATAATTTACATATCATCATTTATCATCAGAATTTTACTGATAGGGAATCAAAATTTTTGCAAATACTTTTAAGAAAATCATGTCCTAATATCTTTAATTAACATTATCGTCGTCAGATGGTCAGAGGCGATAAAATAATGATTAATTATGCATAATATGATATCAATACCAATTATTATTTAAAGATAATAAAATAATTAATTGAAACGATAAGACAATTTAAATATACATTTAAAAACACTAATAATCCGTTTAACCTGAGTAACTCATAACGACTTTACTGACCGACTTCAAATAAAATCGAAAAAAAACTCACAGGTTAGAAAAATAAAATGTATAAAGTTTAAAAATTATAACCAATATATGATTCAATATGACCAAAAAATAATAAAATGATAATAATATTTCAGTAAAGCAAAAATCATTCGCATTATCATAGTTGTTAATCTGTCAAAGGAGATGACTTCCGTTTTCGGAAAGATAAGAATTTACAATATCAGATAGATTAAATGTTATGTCAAAGTCAAGAGGTTTTTTTCTAATTCTTTTTTATTATCTCCTATATCTGTCTATACTTAAATAGACTTTAGAAAATTGGTAACGCCAACAAAAAACCGTTTTAAGAGGCCACTTCCCGAACAGAAATCAACTCCTTTAAACATTAAACATACAATCGCAAGCACAAGTGAAGCTTAATGAAATTTTCATCAAAGTATTGCTTGTCATTTAAATATTTTGATAACGATAAACACTCTTATCCAAAATAATAATCATATATTTTTCACATTATTTTATCATAATATGACAAATATATGATTATAACCTCGCGTTTATAAGGATCCATGTTCTGTGGACCCTCAAAAAAAAATTATGACAAGAACATTGCAGAACTTTTAACAGGCGCAGGCATAACCTTACAATAATCCTTATCTTATACACTAAAACCACATTTTTTATTATTTAAGTATATTAAATAGTACAGAAAGATTCTTTAATTCCTTAAAATTTATAATCCGTTATCAAGAATAATAAAATTTTATGCAATCGTTATTTCAGTCACGTTTTTAGGAAAAGTACGAATACATTGCAAAAAGGATTAACATTCTTATTAAGCATTTTTTTATATTTATGTTTTAATTATATTATGTATATAAAAAATAGAAGTTAGTCTCAACTTTTTTTGCAAATAAAGTGGCTAATACACATAAAGGAGGCAGTGCTGAAATATTTTAAAACTAAATATTTCTAATGATTACGCACCTCTTCTCGACATTATAAATATAGAGCATGCTTCAGGCAAGCAGCCGCCGAAAGCCAGGAAAGTCATTCCCATCACCGACTCAGGAATTAAAAATGTGTTACCTAGAAAAAGAAGTTAAATTTTCTTTTAATTACTTCGTCAATTTCAGTTAGTGCCAGTGTCAGTGTAATATTACTTCACACGAATATCCGAGTATGTACCTACTTATTGGTAACAAACAGTTCTTTTTACAGACTGATTTATTACCTTAAATATAAGTGTAAAGTCATCGTAGTTAATTTTTTATTATAATATAACTAAATATTAGGTCCACTAAACTTGTGGATTGTTTTTAAATGATATTTATCTACTTTTGTCATTAAATTCGTATTTGACTATTAATAGGAAGTGTGTGTATGTTTTGAAAAAAATATTAAATAGTGTTTTATAAAAATGTACACTCATATTCATGGAAAAATAGCTCCGAAACTAATCTAATCTAATCTCATCATAATAATCTTCTCTTGGAACTATTTTTCATCTATACCATAATAACGATCTCAACATTTGATCGGTTTGGTAATTTTGTTTAAAACTTTGAATTTAACTACTATTAAAACTTTATACAAGATTTTTATCACATTTTTTTAAAATATTATATAGTCTAGAAATAGTAGGTCAATGTCAATCCTCAGACACAAGTACTCATGAAACGGATAATCTGTTATTTGCGCGCACTTAATGCAGCAAATAAACAAACCTTCGATTCCTATAAGTATAATATTTCTTTATTTTGAGACTACGTATTTGATAGGGAACTTGTAATTTTTTTAATTAATTAAATAAATATAATTGAACTTACCCAAAACAGTCATACTCCATGACACAAAGTAAGAGTTTACGCCAATCCAAACAATGCACATAATGAAAGTGAGGAGATAGTAACGCTTGCATGACACCGGGGATGGGATCGTCAGGCCCAGAATTATCCTTATAGGCCAAGTGTACACCCACCATATCTTATAGACAATACCTTTTTCTTTAGGAAAACGAAAAATACTTTTCTTCGGTTTTTCATTTTCTATCTCTGAAAATAATAAGGAAATGTGAATTGATTACCTTATGCTTAGGTTTTTCGTTATAAAATGAATATTAAAATGTGATAGTGATTTCCTACAATACCTTTTTCAACGGCAGCCTTTTCATCATTGACAATATTGACATTATTTATTTGCATTTGTGAGTTCACATATGCTTTGTTGGTAACCCCGTCTTCGGCAACTTTCTCGGAAATTGTATCTGTGTAGTTTAAAAATTATAATGAGAATAATAAATATAATTTAAAAAATTGTATCCACTTATGTTTACTTACATCTGGAATTCCGTTTGCAGCAGCAGGCAAAGAGCTTGTCAAGTGCTGACTTAACCCTTATACTGTTGAACATGAAGATGAAATAGAATACATAGAGGATTCCCAACACCATAGCTTCATACCATACAATCTGACCATCCCAGACAATGGCGACCAATACTGAGACGTTAATCATATAAATTATGACATCTCTCGTAACAGGATAGCGTTCGATTGCGATAGGCTAAAAACAGGAATTCATATGAAAATACAAATATTTTTTGCTGTATTTGCGGGTGAGTAAAAATAAAATAGTTTTGCACACATAGATTTAATATCATAAATATTATTCATATGCCACTTATTATATAATTTCGGAGACAAATACAAGTATCTGAACTTGAAGGTATACTTGAAGATAAGATTTTTATCGTCTCTTCATGATACTAAAAAGAAACATCTTGATTTGACAAAATTACTTAAATTTTTTATTGACTTCATTATTTAGTACTACGGGCTTTAACAATGGTCTTTATTAAATTATATATATCTACATGTCCTATCTGTATTGTGAAATAATTATTAATATGTATAAAATTTACTATTATCTATCATTAAGAGAAATAATTTACGATAAATGACACATTCGATAACATTTGCAGAATGTTGATTTATAATAAAGGAGTAGTGCGTGCATAAACGATTTTGATAGTTAATTAATAATTTTTTTTGCACGTATGAATGTTAAAAGGTCTTTGTTCGTACTGAAAGAAAAACTACTTTAGCAAATCTTATATGATCGCATTCATCATCTTTTAAAAATGCATTGTTTTTACGCGTTTGATTTATTACACAACAGTTATGTAATATTTAAGTTTGACTTTTTTGCTTACAATTTATTGTAATCTCTCAGTAAATAAATATTTTGTAACATCTTCGTTTCAATTTAGCATACTTTCGACATTATCATCTTTATTATAAAAAAAATTCGACATTATTATAAAAAAAATATTGTGATGATTATGATATTATTCTCAATTAATATATTTTTTTAATATATATCCATTAAAAAATAATAATATTTTTATCTCTTTCATCAAACAAATTGACATACCCTACATTATAATCAATGATTTCATTGATAGTAAGTACCATAGACTCCTCTTTAACGATAACAATCCTAGAAACTTCAAATTATGTTTTGAGCACACACATGCACGCACGCACACATATACAATTAACTTACCGCAATAGCTGCTAAACTACCGATGGCTCCCACACCAAGGAGGTTAAATATAGCTGAACCCACAATAGTTCCGATGCCCATATCGGATTTCGTTAAAAATGTTGAAATGACATTCACAAAGAACTCTGGACACGAGGTCGCTACTGACATGAAAGTAGCTGCAGCCACGTTCTAAAGAAAAAAAAAACATTCACTATTATTACAGCAGAAACGTGTCACAAATTATATTAAGTAATAAAAATATATGTTTTTATTAATGTGATAACGAGGATAAATGAATGGGTGACTTTCGATTTCGATTACTTAGCAACATTTTTTACTTAGCAACAAAACTGAAGATATGTTCAAATTGTAAAACATTAATAAATATATATAAATATAGTTTCGTTTATTAATAATGATTTTAGTTTGTAGTAATACGTATACGTAATTATATATAATGATCATTAGGTATTACCTCCACGGGAAATCCCGAGGAAAAACTAATGAAACTATTGATAAATGACAAAATAATATAGATGGAGTCAAGAGATATTGAAGTAAAACCAACCTGTGGTATTTTTAAGTTTTCGCAAATCAGTTCGACGCATGGAATGAAATAATCATTACATACTATGGTTAATAGAGTAAATGAGTAAATTCCAAATATCACGTAGCATATAAATGCACCTTGCCGCAATTGATCATCTGAAAAGTTATGAACAATGTTAAAACTACTCTTAACTGTCAAAAGAATTTTTTACCTCTCAGATGTTATATTGAATACGTATAAGTTATTATAGCACTTCAATTAATCCTAGATTTTCAAATAACCATTGATATATGTCTAATTAGTTTTTATAATATTTACAATGAAATTAAGTCACAATAAATTGTAACCTCTAAATGGATAAGTAATTCTTCCCTTACTAAAATATAATTAATTGGAACTTTGTAAAAAAACTTTCCTCTTAGAATCAAATATAGCGTTACTTAAAAATAGTAGACAATTCAAAAAATAGAGAAAAGTATTCAATTCTATATATAAATTTTGCTATATTTCATTTTCAAAGATAAACTAAACGTACCATCAAAAACGCCCACAGGAAAACTTCTCATCGAGTCTCCATTGACTCGTTCAACCTCCTGAATAATGTTCCCAACCATCTCGGTCCTCGTCCGCAGCCACGGTCTCCAGTGCCATATCTCCGATTCCTCCTTCAACCTTCTCATAAGATCCCTTGTTATGAACACTGTCTCGCCGTTCCCATTATCCACCGTCATATAATTATCATCGGTCACATCTGAATCAACAATGCGAACACAACATTATAGAATATATGACACAAAATTACAACCATAGATGTCTGCTCAATACGGACAACTCGTAACGACTGTATTAGAAGAGGAAAATATTGTTTATTAAAACATTTTAATATTAACTTTTACATTAATCCATGATTACAGAATCTAATGTAGGATAAGTTCCAGAATCAATGGTCATTTATCATTGTTATCTGTGATAACATGGTTGTTGCATTGCATGCTATGATTATATAATTCATCGCGTAACATTTTTGGAATAAAAATGTTAACATTTCACACTAACTAGGTATGTTTTATTGTTAAACTTTTATTTTCTTAAATACTTACTGAAATCTTCAAGCGCCACAGCCGAGGACGAGAAAATGAAAATAATTGAAATAACCACCGCTACCGGACTTGACAAACACGGAGTCAGATTCATCTTGATTTTGTTACGCTCTGAAAAGAAAATATATATGTTACATACATAATGTTGTCCTAAAATTATTTGCACGATACATTTATAATTATTACTGTACTAATGAAGTTGAGAATGATATTTGAACTTCATTTACTTGCCTTTAATGGATGAGAATAAAATAATTTTACATCAATAGTATTAAAATTAATAGTAATCGTAAAATTATGGGCTTTATGTATTAATCTATGTTTAAGGAAAATCTGATATTTATTCAAATAGATACGCATATGTATTATTAGAATTTTATTATGTTAGAATGAGACGTTAGTTAACGTCGTAAAACCTTTTCATAACATACATCATTTAAATTAAGATTTGGTTTTTTTATATATTTGTTCTATTTTTCTTTTCAATAAAACTGCTTGCTCAATGTCATAAATATATAGAATAAAACGTTCAAGAAGAACTATATTTAAAGAATTATATATTATATTTATAAATAAAAATTAAAAGAGTATCACTTATAAAGAAATAATCTACGTATTCTTAAAGTACTTACCTTTAACTCTTATACCATTACAATAAAAAAATATATAAAAATTCGCTCTGGCTTTTTAAAAATATCATTCGTCACAGCATTTTAATTTAAATATTATTGAACACGAATATAAATATTCCGTAATTATAAAAGCAATCATAACGAAGAAGAGTATATCGCCTTCATAAGTTTGAAAAGAAATGAAATCTTAAAACGTTAAAACCAAACGTTGCTTCGTAACATATATGAACCGCGCACTGATACTTACTAATTGATTCGGCTTCTTCCTTTTTATTTATAATATTATTATCGTCCGTACAATGTGCCACAACTGGAAGGTTTTCATTATGAACACTGAAATAAACATAGCATTGTTTTTAAACAGATAATCTTAATTGATAAGACGCTGTCACAGATTACTAGCATTATAATATCATATTTACCTATCAGTACGAATGAGCGTACGCATTACCAATGGTTTTTCAAATGTCTTTAATAATTAAAATACTATTTGATTGGATCCTATCATTCCTCTCATTTCGTAGCTCTTAAAGAACTATACCAATTATAAATATTTTGTTATACAACAATTCATTAAAATGTAACAACATCTTTCTTTATAACATTCTTAGAAATAAATATATGGTTTTAGTTTGTTGACAAAACGTAGCTGAGGTACAAATTAAAATCTTAGGGACAGCGTAAAAGAATATTCCTCATGAAGTGGATACGATATCAAAGAAAAAAATATATAAGAAAATATCGAATTATATGTGAAAAATATAAAAATTAATTTGTGCAAAACTGTTAAAGAATAAGTTATTTGTCGTTCATAATTTTAAGTCCTAAAACCAAAATCAAAACATATTTCGGTTGCAAAGTATTGATTGATGAACGTAAATTAATGGTCGAGTTGTAGTTTATATCAGAGATAACACACAATCTAAATAATGTCACTTATATATATAAAACATGACGAATATACTATTAATGACATCCATATAAATTGGTTTCCTAAAATTTTTAGGTGATAAAATGACAAAAATATTACATGTTTTTCTTCAAAGTTGTATAGAAAAAAACTGTTTAAATTTTTCCTTTTTGTTCCATGTAATAATTTGAGACATAAGGCATGAAGTGTGCAGAAGAATTGCATCCTATGCAAAATGATAGTTACAGCGAGAACCAGAATTAGGATTAGTAAACTTTAAATTTATTTCTAAAATGCACATCATGTACTAATCATAAAGTAAGCAAAGTTTATTAGTTCTGATAGATCTGTGTTCTGTATTATGCTGTGTTTATATTCTTTTCATTATTTTCGTACAGCAATGGTATTTAATATATACTGTGTGTATGTATGTACTTTATCAATCATCATCATCATCATCAGCCTATCGGAGCCCACTGCTGAGCAAGTGCCTCTTCTTACGAGGAAAAGTTTTGAGCATTAATCACAACACTTGCTCAAAACGGGTTGGTGATTTCAAACTTTTAATTTCTTTAATGTTCAAATTAAAAGATATAGAATCTCTTTGAATAGTATTTTATCATAATAATTACTTTATTTTTCCTTATTGTCTAACCAACATTGATTTCTACTAAAATAAATATAATTTGATTATTTTTTTATTATTGTGTAGAAGTTTTTGTTCCTGAGATTCGTATATTATAAATTTGATCGTTCTTAACCTAGAAATCAAGCGAGAAAATATTAAATAATTTCAGGCTCTTAATTTATTTTCTCAAACTACTTTCCATTTCTTACATTATTATACAGCAACATTGCCGAATGAACCAAGTAAAAATAAATATTTATTTTGATATCCATATAAAAGGATAATACTAAAGAAATTTTAAATTATAGTTGCCAATAACAAGGCTAAGTTAAAATTGAACGCAAATTATCCGTAGTCTCACAACAAACACTCTTCTTCTTGCTGCCCTGATATAGCAAATTGATAGGCATGTCTAATAAAATTGTTATTTTATATTTATTAATAGTTCAGGTATCAGTGAATTATGAATATGTTTTTATTTAATCCCTTATAAGATAATCAGTACAAATTACAAGTATATCATCTCTTTTATCTACACGATATCTATTCTCAAGGTTAACAAAAATATGTACAGCATACAGCAACTAGAATAAAATAAAATTTTGTTTAAGCACAAATACGATGTTCAGTCTTTGAAAACGAAGAACCGAGAACAGATTTCAAAGCACTCCTTTTCATTATAGTTTATTGAGCAGGTTCTAGAATTAATAAGTTGACACCTTTATTATCGACATGTACTCACGATATTTATACTTAAAAATATATGGAAATAATAATACAAAATATTTATAAAGTAAAACATCTTTATTCAAACTGTTAATTATATTATATTTTTACACGAAAATAATATTTTAAAACTATCAATAATTATCTTATCTAGTAAACAATCTGTATTTTAATACATTTAATTAATGATTGAAAGCGACATATCAATCCAAGATTAATATTATTATTGTAAAAATAATTATCAATGCAGAAACAGTTACGATAAAGACCCCAGCTTCTTGAAAGTAAAACATTTTTATCTGCTAAAACATCGTCTGAAAAGATTTTTTTGTCATTATATTTCAATATCTATTGCTTTCATTTGCTCTTGCAAACATTTTTCCATGTTCCGAATAGATTTTCTTTCTTCTAGTATTATTTATCCATCTTTCTTTTTTATATTCTTCCACGTTGATTATATGACTGTTAGTCGGTTTGGATTCATTTTTAAAACATTTGATTAAAAAGTCGTAAGCAACTCGTAATGTAAAAAACAGTATGAAATCGAAACCAGCTATTAATGTGAAACCCAGCATCAAACTCAAGAGTCCACCAAACGCGGCTGTAATAAAAAAAACATATGCATAATACTTATATAAAAATAAGTTCTTTTAATTACTAAATTATAAAAATAAAAAATCATAATGATATACATAAATAGTTTCATTGCAAAAAATGATTTGTTTCTATCCCAAAAAACATGTTACTCTTATAATATACACGTCTTTTTGAAACATAAATAACTCAGCTTTTCTTACCTAAAATATTCTGCCAGTTCAAGTAAACTTCTCGTCTGTATTTAGTAGAGACCAAATCATTGAAGAACACGTTGAGAACTGATCGATTTTCCAAATTGATACCTTCACTGTAAAAAATAATAATGCAAATTTTTTCAAACCTTAAAAGAGTTAGTTTATAAAATCATTTGTATGTTACAAGAAACAGTTTTAATTTAAAAAAAAAACAATTTATATTTTGACTACTTTCAAGCTTTCGTAAAAATTAATGACAAATATAATCTCATGCATTGATCGAGAATTATTTTACATTTTTAATTTTTTATTTATATATATATATATGATAAGACACACGTTGCATTATTTTCTACCTTATTTCTTACAATTCGTTTAAACTATAATGTGACAAAAATAAAATTAATTAATTGCCCAAAAAATTTTTTTTAGATAGTGTTCACACTTCATGAACAACGAAAAATTGTCTGCTTCATCTATATATATAAAAATGGATTGCTGTTTCTTAGTCTCGCTAAAACTCGAGAACAGCTGAACGGATTTGGCTAATTTTAGTCTTGAAATACTCCTCGAAGTCCAGGAAAGGTTTAAAAGGTGAGAAAAATTGGAATGATTGCCGGGAAAACCCTAAAAACAGCCCTTTTCTATTTCCGATACAGACGTTTTTTTGACATTAGATTTGACAACTAACTAATATGTCAATCATTCTGTTCGATTGAAACAGGAGAAACCTGATTATTAATGGCCTCTAAAACGGAATAGAGTTCGCCCGGTCAGCTATACATATATTACTAATAACGAAACTAACGCGGACGAAGTCGCGGGCAAAAACTAGTCATTGATAAAAGTTTTGAATGACATTGGTTATCTGAAAACCTTAAATATTTCACACTTGCATCCTACGTTGCACGTTATTTAGTCGAAGAAAACTACATCCAAGTTATGTTCATTATTCTAATGTTTACATAAGAATAAATTCACTAATGATAGACATAACATAGCTCGAGAACGGCAAACACGCCATTTCATTGAAATATATTTTTCATTTGCATTTTTAATACGTTTCGTAAACACTAGAACATCAAAAATACGCCTTATTATTTTCCTAATTACACAAAACCTCAATCGAACGGAAGTACAGGTTTCTTATTTCAATACTTAGATGGAAAACAGATTCAACAAATATAATCGCATTAATACACCGACGATAATGATAACGAATCTGTAGATAGAAATTTGCGTGCATATAAAAAATATTTCTACTTTTTTAATCCGCTATAATATTATTATTATTATTTTATTAATTTCGGTAATTCATAATGCATTTACAATAATAATATAATCGTGATCCTAACAATACTAAGAACAATACAGGATTAGACAGTTACAGTAGAAATATAAATGTTACGTAAACATAACTTAAGTGTTAATTAATAAGAGTACTAATCAGCAAGACTATCCGTTGTGTGTTTGTGTGTGTGTGTGTGTGAGAGAGAGTATGTGAGTTATGTGTGTTTGTACTGGTTTGGATCTGTGCAGATGTGTGTCTTAATAATAAATCAAGATATAGTGTTTTTTTAAAAATTTCAGTAATTTTTTGAAGTCATTGAAACAATCAGATTTTAATTTTTGACACTACCTTAGGTTTTCGCTAACGAACTTGACAATATTTGAAATAAAATTAACAGTAGTCTGTTACATAAAACGAAGTCACGATCGTATATACTTGGTAGATTAATATATATTTGATTAATACACATAGATGTCTTACTAAAACGATGTAACTCCAAGAGGCACGTTCACAAATAACTTGCCGAGGGCCACCTCCAGAGGATAATCGAAATGTTCACATTCTGGTAAACATTTGATCAGATTCAAGGTTCTCGGATCTTCTTCCTCAGACCCATTATTCACCCTGTAAGGACCTAAAATAAAACTAAAACTTATCACGAGAAATATGCTTTCCATTTATCTTATTAGAAATGTACCAAATATTTTAGTAGTTTTGTTGTTTTAACTGTGATATAATTAAAACAATTATTTATAATAAGGACATTCAAAATTAGAAACCAAAAGTAATATAGCCAGCCATGTTACGTTCTGTTAAAAAAAAATATTTATAGTCATTGTCTACATATTTATGCTAAGTATTAAATAGACTATGTATAGAGAACAATATTATTAAAAATGCTTTAACTTTGAAAGCTTGCATTATTAAAAAATACACACTTTTTACATTTTCCAAGCATTCTACGTCGTGAAAATTACAAATTCTGCTGTCACCTGAAAGACAAGATAATCTCTTAAAAATCACTTCAGTGGCTAAAGTAAAAACTAAAAATATAATAATACATCTCATTCTTCTCCACATAGATTCTGCAAATAACTATTTGGAATGACAAAGATTGTAGCAATAGTTGCTTCAATTAGAATAAAGACTTTCAAGATATGATTATTTAAAATTTATCATGATAAAAGGGACCATTAGTGTAAACAACGTTGTATTAGTATTCATAGAGGTCAATTAATAAATACATTACCGTCGTGCGGAAAGAAGAATGGTACACAATTACAGACGTTTATTAAGATCTGTATTTTCCTTAACATCATACAATTATGGTAGGAGTACTTGTGAATGTAGGGTATTTTTACCTGAAATCAGTACGGTATAGTACAGTACAGAGACATTTTGGAATTAAAAAAGTAATCACGTATTATATGTACAATCTCATTAAGGAACAAATATGGTTACAATGAAAATGTGATATATAGGCTGTTTTCAAATTAGTCTGTAAAGTTATATAATAATATAAAAAAAGATCTCTAAAACATCCCAAATTGTTTTTATTTTACTGTATTTTTTAAATGTAAAACTTTAGGATATAACATTTTGTTAACAGTATTTTAAAAAATGTTTACAAAGTTAAATTTTCTGTGTTGTTTAGCTACGTCTGTCTGTACGTTTCCGTGCAAACAATTGTTAATTGGAATTTTAGAATAAAAGAAACAGGTACAGAATAATTATATTCTCGAGACCAAAACCAAAAAGCATATGTACTTTAAACAAGTTTATTTTATTTCGCATAAAATTTTCTTCCTTTATTTTGTATGTATATTTAAATTTTTTCTAAAATAGATATTATAAATATGAGATCGCATATTCATAATACTGTAATATTATCATGAAAAATGTTCATGTCGCCAAATTGAAGTATGATTAATATAAATTTTAATAAAATTTATATTCTACTGAAATCTTAGATTATTCCTTACCAGGAAACTCCGACTGTACGAACTCGTATTTTAATAAGCGGAATCATAGAGCCCATACTGGAAATTCTAAAGAAACCGAGAGGTTTCTGCAGATTAATTAGTAAGCTGCTCCCGTTTTATTCATAATATTTAGCTACAGTAATAGTTCGGTTAGGAAAATTATGTCATCAACCTGGACACAAATATATGATACTTAGAAAGTAATGTTCACGAAAAATATATTTTAGTTATCAAACTTATAGAATTTTTAATAATTCTGAAAGCATGTTTTGATTGAAAAAAGAATGAAAGCATGTTTGTTTATATGTATTATTAATTACTGATTTATCAAATACATATATATCATTTGTTTTCCAAAAATAAGCCTATATTGATGTTCTTAATAAACTCTATAACATATACTGGTAAGTAAAATAAGTCTCTGGTGTGAATTTTTTTATGTTGTTTAAGTGAATTTATTTTATGTCTTATTAATTGCTTTAAAAATGTATGGTTTAATAGTCTTTGATTGTCCATTTAATACTAATCTCTTTATTTTATTTTTATTTATTTTTAATACCTATGTAACACTAAAAATGTTTAGAAAAGAAAAACGGCTTAATGGAGAATGAAAATTGCCAATACTTTTTTGTTTTTAGATGTAAAGTTGGTTCTATATATCGTCGCATTCGATGGAAACATTGAGAAAAGCAGTGAACCCATTCTTTCTTAGGGGCCTCCTCTATAGCATTTTCTTACGCCCTCACCGCATCCTCAGAGCTTGTACAGCTTATAGCTTAAAGTTTACTTTCAGTTCTTGGAAATTAATAAAAGTCGCAAAAGTGCATGGTGAGGACAGTATGACGGGTGACTCATTATCTCGACATCTGTCAAATATTCAAAAGTCCATTTTGTGTAGTGCGCTGAAGCATTGTCGTGGTGAAGGAGGATCCTACTTCGAGGGTGCTGATGTCGAAGTTTTTCCAAGACAACATTCAAACAGCGATTGAGATACCAGTCTGCAGTAACTGTCCTTCCATCTTCTTGCACTAATCATCACGAACCTTTTCGACGAAAGAATGAAACAATGGTCTTGTTTCCTTTACTTCTTCCTTCCTATATTTTAGTTGGCCGATTTTGGAGAGAAAATACCCACTGAGCTGTTTGTCTTTTGGTTTCGGGTTCGTAGAAATATATTCAGCTTTCATCACATCGTGTAACATTTTAAGAACTTTATCCATACCAATGCCTAGGATTGGCCGTGTCTGCTGATAGGTCACTTCCTTATCATTCTCTATCATGCGTCGCACAGCAATGATGTTATCTTCAGTAGTCGCTCTTACAGGTGTTCCTCACGCGGATCATCATTGAGATTGCTACGTCCACGCTTGAACTCTTTTAACCAATTATAAATAGCAGCACGAAATGTGGCTCCATTAAGAAATGCCAATCCTGGCCTATCAAAGCTTTGTTGTTGAGAAAGCCCACAACGAAGGTCATAATAAATCATTGATAGAAAATTTTCTCGCGATAGGTTCATTTTCACGTGTGACAAGAGTTTTAAAATTTTCTGCCAACTAACAAAAACAAATGAATGTGTACTACATTAGGTTACCAAAGAGGCCTAAATTGAAAACAAAAAAGTTTTCATTAGCAATGTTTGTAACTGGCCAGTTCTACACTTCTTCAGTATTACCCACGTGTAAGTTACACGTTGTAATTTATACTCTGTATATTAAAATAATAGTTTTAATTGTTCTGGAATTCTACTAAAATATGTGTGGTAATTGCTTTTATAATCTCGAGAGATAATATATTGTTATGTTCCTAAAAGATTAAATATAATAATGAAGAAAATGAGTAATTAAATTTATGAACTACACTCACAATATTTGGAGTATGGTAGGTACATATAGGTATATGCTATGTAGGTATATGCTTGCATAAAAAATGATGATTCTATAATTATTATGTATATTAAAAATTATAGGATAAAACGCTTAATACATATATTCAAGTTTCGTGACATCCAAATGATAAACATATTGATATGAGATGAATGTTTTTGTATTTTTTCTCTATATTTCTATTTAATTTCTCAGAAGGTTTCTGTAACTTCTCTATTGTTACGCTTCTCTTTTCTTGATATAATACAGTGTTTTTGACCTTAAAACTGTATTTAAGATAAATTATTTGAATAATGAAAAGAACAAGTGATGTCCTCAAGATATAGAAAGTCTTTGGATATCTTTTTTGCGTCATGTGCAAGATTTATTAAGGATATTGAATTTACGCACGTAGATCTCGATAATTGATAGCAATAAATTATTTTTAATGGTATAAAGATATATTTAAAAATAGCTTCTTAAAGTTGTAGATATATATACGGAACATGACAAATGAAAATTTAATTTTGAAACTTCTAGTAAATTTAATCCTATGTCGAGCATTTAATTAAAGCAAATTATTAAAATGGATTCAATAATGTTTACTATTAATTAGATTTGCAATGAAAATCACTTTTCACGTTTTTTCATATCTCCCATTAAATATTCTACAACTGTAAAATGGTAGTAAATAAAGCACTCGTCTCGCCATTCACTCCTTTGTAAAAGACAGTCCAATATCAACTTTCTCTCATCAAGTTAAAGATATTTTTTCAATAGTCCATGTCTGAAGAATAGGTGAAGTCAATAATAAACTAGTGTATACAAAAGAAATTGTAAAAGATGTTACACAAAATATATTAAAAAAAAAATATTTTTTACATAACAGGCATTAACCAGGTGGACATATTTGGAAAAGTTGCATCTCAATACTGCGTCTACTTGTATTTGGAGAATAATGATTTTTCTACCACCTATGTATGTAATGGAATGACTTTTTACAACAACGGTCGCGCACATTGCGTTTTCAGAGGAATTTTCTGACGCGATTGCTTAGATTTTTCATAGGAAAACAGCAATGGTTTCTTCAAGAGTCAAGAGGTATTTAATGTGTTTTTGTGTTAGACATCCATTGTCTACACTGTTGACTTAATATTAATCGAACTGGAAGCTTATTTGCCACCAATGTGGTATAAAAATAATATTTATCGAATACATAATGAAAAAAAATCTGAGTTTGAGATCAAACACTATCGCTATTGTATTAAAACTCTTTCACAAATTTACCGTATCCATGGTGACAAAGTAATTTTAATAAAATCCAAATCATTAAATGCAACACACTGTTTACTATTGTATACTTATCGAATAATATAGAAGATAAAAAAAGAATTAAAAATAAAACTTTTATCTTTTAAAAAGTAAGTACATCTTTACTCCCAGATTTCTTTGAGTGCAAAAAAAACTTCTTTAATAAAAACTACAAAATATTTTATAATTGCAATGAGTATAAAGCCATAGCACACTAAAAATACTTCGACCTCTTTGTAACTTAAAAATGAAATTATAAATTATTATCTTTATGTTCTAGAAAATAGATGCGATAAGGAGAATGAAGATTTTATCCCATTGTACACTTGGATTGCCCTCATTTTTAATTTTTGATGCTTTACTTTCAACTATACATAAATTTAATTTTCTAGGACTAGGTTGTACCATTGCTGTAATTTAGTATTGAGATACATAATGGAGTTATGATGACGAAATTATCGTGTATCTAAAAAGGTTTATCTTTCATGAAAACTCTTATACGAAATTTTTAACTAATAATTTATAATATTATTACAACAGTTCAAAAGTTGAAAAAAAATCAAAATAAAAATTAAACATAATTTTTAACTTTTCAGAAAAAATATTTATTTTGTAAGTTTTTCACCGAATTTCTGTTGCAAATTTTTTTTTGTTTACTTTAATGTTCTTTAAACTGTTGCTAGGCGAAAACCTAATTTTCGTACATCATATCATCATATCAGGTTACTGATAAACCGATTTACCAAGGACATCGTGGTTAAAAATTTTATTATAAGGGGTCTAAGGTTTAGTTTTTTTTTTGTTCATATACTTTATTGAAAGCTACGGAGAGAACTGCTAATAATAATTTTTAAAAAAACACGAAAAGATTTTCTTCTGCCACGATGCCACCATGCCCACACACGCATACATATGTAAACGAACAAAAACATGCAAAAGTAGAAGCACACGTACACACGCTTACGCACACGCCCACCCACGAAAACACACACCCACAAACACACTCATGTCCAAACTTTCGCATTTACTAACTTTCGCATTTACTATATTGTCATGATAAGCTTCAATTATCTTGATGATATTTCTTAATAAATGTTTACATAAAGAGTAAATTTTTTCGATAGTTATGTAAAGATTAAAGGAACAGAAGGTAGCTTCTTGAAAATGCCACATGATATCTGAATTCCATTCGCTTCTGCGTAA